TACATATCTAGGGTTCTCTCATTTAAAAGATACACTACATGTCTGATTAAAATCAACAAAGATTTTTGTTGTTAATTAGTTATTCCCCCACTCAAACATTTTTATTTTTTCAAAACTTTCAAATTCAGCTTTAGATCAGATTCAATTTATTTCACAAGTTCTTTATAGTTTTCTTTTGGTACTCCATATTATAATTAAACAGAAACCATAAAGAGAGGAAAGCAAAATCTTCTGAAATTAGTGTATTTTCTGTAGATAACAGTGACACATACTGTCATGACTTCCCTGATGATTATCCTGATGGAAATGAAAAAACTATATGCTGGACCGAGGTGCTTGAAGCATGCAAGCCCTTGCCTGTGACCAATATACCAGATCAATATGGATATGAGGCATTTGAAAATGTGAGTACTCCTAGTACATACTTCATGATGTTAAGAGTTTATGATCGATGTCTGCTGAAGTTCTGAAATAACTTACGTATTTTTGTATCTCTTGAAACAATTGTATCATTTGAAATGGTCGCTTAAATGCTATTTATTTGTGTTCATTTCTCGTTCGCTACTTACAAAGAAATAAAATCTCTATTTTTCAAACAGGAACAGTCGTTATTTTATTCGGGAAGGGATATGATTGCCAACATGGAAAACAATCGGTGGCCAAACTCCAATTGTAATAATGTTGAGAACTGTATGACTTATTTCCACCTTAAATTACTTGGTCATTTCCCCTTTTTTCATATAATGAAATTTCCTCCGTCTCTTTGATGTCCCATATCTCCAGCTGTTTTTGCACTTCCTCAAGGCGACAGTGGGGTCAAATTTCCTCTATGTTCTCGGGTAGAAAATCCAGTAACTACCTCTGACTACTATGGAACATTTTTTGACCAAACCCAAATTCAAGAACCTCTGGGTGTAGATTCAAGCTTGACTGTTGAACGGAAACAGAAATTTACAATTAGGACAGTCTCCCCAGAATGCTGCTATGCCACTGAGACCACAAAGGCTCGTGTCTTTTAATTTCAATATTTATTATGTCCCGTGCAATGATATATGACTTGGTGAATGTTATGTACTGAATGATGGATTGTTATGCTTTTTGGCGCTTACTAAGCTTTACTTACGTTCCTGAAGACCTTCTAAATCAATACACTGCATGGCTCAAATATTTATGCATTTTTGGTATCATTGTGTAATTATGTATCTAATAATTAGGGAGTTGTCATACAAACTCTTAGATCTTGATTTCAATACTTAACCGTGTGAGACGTATACTTTTTCTTTACTGCCTTTCCTATTAAACTGTTATTATTTTTCGTAATACGATACAGATACTATTGTGTTGTCTGCATTTGAATCCTAAACTCTCAAGTTATATGTATAGGTTGTCATCATTGGATCATTTCTCTATCATCACCCGGATTCTACTTGGGCCTGTATGTTTGGTGATGTTGAAGTTCCTGCTAAGATTATTCAGGATGGCGTAATCAGTTGTGAAACTCCTTCCAATCTTCGTGGAAAGGTTAAGTTGTGCATTACTTCCGGAAATAGGGTGCCTTGCAGTGAAGTGATTGAGTTTGAGTTTCGAAATAAGGCTACTAGTTGCACTCGCTGTAATTCATTAGAAACAGAAGATGGCAGAAGTCCAGAAGATCTGCTATTACTTGTTCGATTTGCTGAGATGCTCCACTCTTCAACTAAAAAGGATGACAGCACAGAATCTGGAAGTCACCTTTCAACAGAACAGAAAGATGGTGATGATTCATGGAGCCATATGATTGACACTCTTCTAGTTGGCAGTGGAAAATCATCTGATACTGTTAACTGGCTTCTAGAAGAGCTGCTGAAGGATAAGCTGCAGCTCTGGCTCTCTAACCGATGCTATGAAAGAGATGAAGGGACAGACTGTTCTTTGTCCAAGAAAGAGCAGGGAATTATACACATGATTTCTGGGTTGGGTTTTGAGTGGGCCTTGAACCCCATTCTCAGTTGCGGTGTGAATATAAATTTCCGTGACATCAATGGATGGACAGCCCTACATTGGGCTGCAAAGTTTGGGAGGTAATAGAAAACAGATTTGTTGATATTAATATGCAGTAGTGTTATCACCTTTTTTTTTTTCAAAATCCTTGAATAAAATATACTTGAAAAAATCCGTTTAGAAAACTGTACTTCATCCTCTGGAAAAGGGAATATGAATACAAAGAAAGAGATCAAGGACGAATAAAACCTGTGTGTAATACCTAGCCTGTAAGTCACATGTTAGAAACTGATGACTGTGTTTAAGATGCAATAATCTCATGTAACAGGATTTTTCAATCATTCTTGAACATGCATATTAAGCCTTAATCAAAGCAAAATGTTTAATTTTTTTGTTTCAACCAAGAAGCCTTGTCCCACACTAGTATCAGCTACATTGATTAAATTATCAAATTGTGCTGGACCAGTAACCGATTTTTCAGAATTGTCTTTTTGAATAAGTGTTTTTAAACGGTATCTGTTGGAGCTTTATTTTCTCTTTCCCTATCTCTATGGATCAGACTGACCTCCATATAATTAATTCATCTTACCTGGTAACCTGGGTCTCCAGTTGTCTTCTACACGATTCAAACCATCATAGGGAAAACTCTTTTACCGATTATCATATCAAGATTAAACCCTTGATTTATAAGCTTTTATAAATAATCTGTTCAATTCTAAGTGTTCTGAATATTGTGTCACAAATATTTCATTCCATGATAGGGAAAAAATGGTTGCTTCACTTATAGCTTCTGGTGCATCTGCTGAAGCGGTGACAGATCCAAGTTCACAAAATCCAAGCGGTGAAACTGCTGCATCTGTTGCAGCCTCCCATGGCCATAAGGGACTGGCAGGTTATCTTTCTGAGGTACACCTAACAAGCCACTTGTCATCCCTCACTTTGACAGCGAGTAAGATTTCTGAAGGATCTTCTGAGCTCGAAGCCGAGTTAACTGTCAGCAATGTCTCTGAAGAAAATATCGTGGCCAGTGAGGATCAGGTTTCACTAAAAGCTTCCTTGGATGCTGTCAGAAATGCAACTCAGGCAGCTGCACGGATACAAGATGCTTTTCGTGCACATTCTTTTAGAAAACGGAAAGCAAGAGAAGCTGCTGCAGCTGCTGCTGCTGCAGCATGTCTAGATGGATATTGTATTGATCCATGTTGCAACAATGATAACATGTCAGTGCTTTCTGCCATGTCAAAACTTAGTTCTCGGAGCTTGGGTGATTACAATTTAGCTGCCTTGTCGATTCAGAAGAAATATCGAGGTTGGAAAGGTCGCAAAGAATTCTTAGCATTGCGCCAAAAAGTAGTTAAGATACAGGTAACTGTAAATAGTTGTTATTACAGTTTTACCATTCTATTTCCAAGAATTCTGCATGTACGTAGATATTGGCGCTGTAGAAATATAGATACCTCGTAAAGTGAATAAATTTGTTCATAAATTGGCGGGGATAGGGGAATGAAAGCTGTAACTTGACATGTACATGCATCCATCAAGAACTGATTATTGACGGGGGAGGGGTGAAAGCTATATAGCTAGACATACACATCAAGAACTTCCTATTAACCTTGGCTTCTTTGTATTTATTTGGGCAGGCCATTGTGAGGGGTTACCAGGCTCGGAAGCAATACAAGATACTATTATGGGCAGTTGGAATCCTGAATAAGGTTGTGCTACGATGGAGGAGAAAACGCGTTGGTATAACTAGTGTCCGGCAAGAAATGGATTCAAATGAAGAAGAAAGTGATGATGAAGATTTTCTCAACGCGTTCCGGAAAGAGAAAGTAAATGGAGCAATTCAGATGGCTTTGAAGCGGGTGCTTTCCATGGTCCGTCATGAGGATGCTCGCCACCAATACAGGCGCTTGCTTTCATTGTATCGTCAAGCCAAGGTAATTAGTTATTAGAGCACTTTTTGCTCCCACTTTTTGCATTCAGTTTGATCTGGATGCCTCCAGTTGAGATGTGGTATCTGTTAGTTATCCCACTTTTTGCATTCAGATTGATCGAATAATATCCAAGTGTTATGATTCAAGCTTTCACTGTCCTTTTCTTTATAATAATCAGATATATGATAAATGGAACGCTAGCAAGTAGCAACAAGATAGTCTCTTTTGACACCCTATTTTTATTACTTGAGGAAATCCAACTGGGGTCTCTCCCTTTAGTAGGGTCAGCATCATGAGTGTGATCTTTTACTCAGACGATAGAAGTGTCTTATAGTGTCAAATAGTGGGATGCTAACACTTCTCAAAATTATTAGGACTTAACTAAACATCACTGTTTTGTGCAATGCATGACTTGTTGATTCTTTTACAGACTGAACGTGACAGTACAAGTGATGAAGCACCGTCATCAACTTCAGAAGAGGACCCTCTCAATATGGAAGACGATGATTGGGATCTGTTATGGCAAAAATTATGTGCTTAGGAGGTTTTATGTCTCTTTGGTGATAAATTTCTGGCTTTCTGTGTACTATTGGATGTGTAGGTATAAGCTTGATTGAGGTTTTAGTTTGTAAAACAGTATAGATTGTAGTGTGATAAAGGCGGTGGACACTCTTTTCATGTACAAAGTTGCCTTCACTGCTTTGGGGTAGTATAGGGTTTCAAATTGAGTGGGGTAAGCTTCAATTTTTAATTTATTGTTTTACTTTTCATCAGTAAAACTAGACAGAAACCATAATTAGATAAGAAAATGTGTTATATTTCTGATTTTAAATTATTTACTATAATTTTCATTGCATGCAAGACGTAGCTAGTGGCCGCTACTAATAAAAGTGTTTTTACTTCACTAATTTACATGACTATGCTTCCCTGATTTACATATGAAGAGCGAATAGATAGATAATTTGTCGTTACAATTATAATATTCATAATAGAATATGTTGTTTAGGGAATAATAGAAAGATTAAATCAAACGGAATAAAATTTATATTTATATAAAACTTAATCACTAATCTTTAGTTCCACTTTTAGATACATAAACCGACAAATACTAAGAATGAACAATTTTGATCCAAGTACTGTAATCTAGAGTCAACACAACAGAATAATCGCACTTATTATATGGTGAGGGTAAGTGTAGACAAGACACGTTTGGCATGAAAAGGTAAACAAAACCATAAGGCCACGTCTCTTGTCTTTTTCATTCACTTGGCAGCAACGGTGGATGATAGATAACTCAACCCACAACAATTATTTGTCTCCCGTGACCATGGAACAAGATCGAAGGCTTCAACTCATCGACAACGCAATTCAGAAGCTTATACAAGACGACCACGACAAAAACAACACCAACAAAGTCCGAGAATCTCACCATAACGACGATGATCGATACCAAAACGCTCTTTCCCACCTTCTCTCTGTCTCTCAGGTATCTATCATCAGATTTGCAACTCATGCCTATGCAAAACTAGTTTCAAATTTTATCCTTGGATGTGGTGTTTATTAATTATGTAATGCTTGAAATTTCATTTTAATATTTTAAAATAAGATGATTGGTAACACATGGTGAATCTTTTGGCAGTTGAACATTTTGAAAGGAGAAGAGATAAATGAGGAATTTGAAGATTCTAGATCTTCTGAGCCGGTGGCTTCTGTAACTGAGGCGACAGAAAACGATGAGATAATGAAAGAGCTGAAGAAGGTGAAAAGGCAGAACTTTGTAACTCATTGCCTTCTTTCAGTGATGATTGTTCTCACTGTGGTTTGGCAAGTATCTGAGGTGTCTCTTATTTTGCAACTGAAAGATGGATTAAGCCACCCTTTTAGATCCTTTGGAAATATGCTCAAAGGAATGGTGAAAGTCCCTCGCGTCAAAGGCCAGGACGCTGATGACGATGAACAACTTCTTGAATCTTCATCCCTTCCTTCCATGATCATTCCGGATATGTCTCATGCCGGAAACTAGTCAAACTTGTCATTTTCTTCTGGGAGATGAAATCGATTTGCACCTTCCTTTCTGATGTAAATTCCCTCTTCTTGTACCATTTGCAAGAATTTCCTTCTGATTGTAGTACATTCAGCAGACCAGATCTTGATCAGTTCTTCAAATGGTAATCTAAAAAAAATTCCTTCAAAGTCAAATGGGTTTATTTTACTTAGCCTTATTTATTATTCTGTGTTTTAAGGGCCAGAAAAGAACCTCTGGGGTCACAGTACTGGAAAATGACCATTAGTTCATGCAGAATGTATCTTCGCCATCGATACAAATAAAACCTTTTATGCGGAGACAACACCGTACTGCTATGAAGATAGGAACTAGTTCACACGTGCTGCTTTAAATTTTCAGAAGTACTTTTTGTGAATTCCAATAAAAATTTATAAAGAAAGAATTGTTACCATATTTCTTGTCGTTTTTTAATCCAACCATATTAAAGTCTCTTCTTTGGACAAGTTTTCTCGCAAATACTCTAGAAAAAATTAACTTTCTTATACACTAAAATTAACTTAATCATAAATTAATAAAGCTTTCACTTTTTATTTTATTTTAAGCTAATTTTAAGTATGAAAAAATAATTTCAATTTTATTTATTTTCTTTTAAAAATGCTTCTGTAGTTGTTAGTTAAAGAAGACTCTTACAAAATTCAAAGTACGATAGCTTCAAAGAGTGCGATAGCTTCAAAGATCCTCGTATAGTACGATGGAAAATCAAGGCGGAATACCGTGACTTTTGTCTTCACTGAGCAATGCTTTCTGACACCAAATTTAGCTCAACACTAACACTGCAACATTTACACTACTACTCTTTTTTAGCTCAGGTAGTAGTGAAGGAAGGATTGATCGATGGTTCGAAACGAGTGAAGGAAAAACAAATTGGCTACTCATTCATCTTTGAATGAAAATCGAACTATAGCAAATAATTCATCAGGATGGTAGGGAAACAAACATTTAAATTACGTGATAAAATCAAAATATTCGAATCAAATATATTAAAGTTGAGACCCTCCAATTTCATCAATTTTAACCATTTATCCTTTAAAGCGTTTTGACCAATCGCAACCAAGAAATCCAAACAGAAGAAGCACAATTATGCGTTCAAAACGAACCATAAAGAACTGATTCTCAAATGAAAATGTCAGAAACAAAACAGCTGTAGGCAAGAACTAATATGGCCTTTCACGTCAACATACTTGGGTCATCCTCATGCATAGTTCAACCGGAATATGTCATTCAACACATAATAGCTTCCCTGCTGTGATGGCATCAAATGGAACATCTGAGAACAAAAAGATCAACATAATTAGTCGATTAGCAGACAAATTAAAGCAGAAAACAAATAACATCATTGATCATTTGATGTCAAAGTTACACCTATGCTTCTACAGCAAATGGCAAATAATCACAGAGCAAATAATAATTCAGAATTTTAATCATTTCAAATCCTTCTCCTCCTCCTTTACATAATGTCAAACACCTTCATCTATTACCAAAAAAACATGTGCCCACCTAGACACTACTCCACATGGGTTTCATACCATACGAGACAGACACCCCTGATATAATTTTTTTTCTCGGAGGAATTCAAAAGGAACAATTCATGATGAGTCAACAAAAACATCCTACACAACCAGTAAGTGCTCAGGAACTCAATACTCCAAGCTTCTAGAACGAGTGAACTTCAATCACGCATACACAATGAATAAACAAATATAAACAAAAACTCATTATATACTCTCTTTTTTTCAGGTATGGATAAATTTATCCGTTGAAAACCTAATAAAGTAGAATAGATTAGATCCACTAGAAAACCCTAAAAAATATATTAAAGGAAGAAGAGAAGAGAGGGGAGCAGTGTACCTGGCTGAACTTGAGGGCATGCTGTTCGCCGGCAAGCTGGAGGTTGCCGCTGACGAAGACGAGGACGCCGGCGCCGGCGCCGACGCCGGAGGGCTGGCAATCGACGGTGGTGATGGAGTGTTGGCACTGGTGGAAGGGAAGGGAAGTGAGCTTGGCGGCGATGCTGTGGGCGCCCAGGATCTTCTCGCCTTCGAAGGAAAGCATGGAATCCTCCTGATATAGATTGCGGAGATTGCTGCGATTGGTATCGAAGGTTGAATAGTAATGATCCACGAATGCCTTTGCCACTGCGTCTGGATCCATTTTCTTCTCTCTTCTCTCTTTCTTCTTCTTCTTCTCTCTCTCTCTCTCTCTCTCTCTCTCTCTCTCTCTCTCACTCTTTCCTATTTTTTTCTACTAACACACTCACAATAATACCATCCACTGGACTGGACTGCATACCAATCCTGACCCGAAAGCCCAAACTTAATTTTATTTATTTATTAATAACATTTTCTTTTCTTTATAAAATCATTATTTTACGCCTAATTCAAATATTTACTATTTGGTCAACCGGATAAAGAATAAAAATGGACAGAGTTGCTAGAGTTTGATTATTTTATCTTATCTCTAAAGTATAAAATATTCTTATCTCGTTTTTATTTTATTGAAAAATAAGTATATCATTGAAAAATGAGTATATGTCTACCCACGTATTTTATTGTTTTAGATATTAGTTAAATATTTTTTGTAAAAACCTAAATAAAAAAATAATATTTATAATAATATAAATATTCAATAAAAAAATGTTAATATAATTTCTTTTAAATATCCTGATAAATTAAAAGTGTTGACGGTATGAAAATAAAGACTAAACGTTGTTGTACATACTAATTTGCATCCACATATCCAATTTAAGCAGAAATGGCTTCATTTGTCATACATAAGCAAGAAATAGCTTTTAAAACTGTTCTTTGTGTCTATGACTACTGATTGAAAAGTCACTCTAAACTAAAATTTTCAAAATTATGCAAACATGAAAAGATTTCTTTTCCGAAAAACAAGGTTTCATCATCGAGTAACCATACGACATCAGAACATTTCGCAATGTCAAAGGAGGCTCCATGTTTGTTCTAGACATTAGACCAAATTCTAGTTTAGCACTATAATTATGTAACCTTGAAGCATGTTTCATCACAGTAGGTCATCCTTTTGGATGAGTGTGAATTTGGTTTCACCTGTTTTTCACAACCTAGCAGAGTTGTGAATTTAGCAACGAATTTGCTAGCAATTGCATGGATACTGTGAATATGAAAACTATATTTACTTTCATCCAGAAGACCTGGTCGGAGATCATGGGTCCTCCTCCCCATAGCACACAAACAAAAAGAACCAAAAATTAAAACCATACACTTATTGAAAGCAAAAAGAAACTTAAGTTCTATATCACCTTTTACCAAGGTGTCCCAGGATGAGAGATTCCCAACACATCCAAAGTAGTGTTCACATGCCTGAGAGTATGAAAAGACATGAATCACAAACCCATATTATTTTTCAACTACTCTGTTAAACCAGCAATGAACATTAGGATTACGTACAACACCCCAAAAGGCCAGCAAATTTCAATGACAGGCCATTGCTGTTAAGAGATACAAACGATATCATGCCACAGCTGTCAGGCATGGATGAAATGCAGTACCACAAGCTATCCACTGTCTTTTTCTCCCACGCGGCACCACACACCCAGGAACCTTCAGCCATTCTTTCCTTGCTATGTTGTAAGTAACCAATCTATTCATTTGTTTCGATCTCAGGGACAACATGAGCAAGCCTTTGTTACCCAGGCAAGTCATTCTAACGTGCTTCCCATAAAAGTCCAAGCACCATATGTTTGGCATTCTGTCAACCTCCTTCCACAATAGTGTCATTTTCTGCAGCTCCCATATGCATACACAAGTAGCTGCATTCTTTGTGAGCAAACCCACAAGCATGATCTGGCCATCACACTCGGCCAGAGTGTGATCAGTCAGATGCAATGGCGCTGGGATTATATATTGTTTCCAAACCCCAGTTGCCATATCGTAAGAAACAATCCCTTCTGGGTCTGATCGCATGAAGTAAAGCATGCTATCAATAGAGACAGCTTGAGACCTAAAGTTGAGCGACAGTGGCAGCTTCATACCTGCAGGCATGTTTCCAGGACGAATCCAAGAATTTCTGACCGAGTCGTAGACTTCATATTCTCCATCACAACCAACCCATAAGATCTTGTAGCCTGACCCAGCCGAGTTTCCATTAATTGTCATCCCTACAGCAACCCGAGACCAGACCTTAACTGATCGAGCTGGCAACTCCCTGAAGGATTGAGTCAGTGGGTTGCAAACAAAGAAGTTACGATGACCAATGTCAAGAAAGCAAACTAAACCACCAGCAGAAGCCACGGGTAAAACAATCAATTTTGTGGGCGGTGTCGATATAGTTGGGTGGTGCCATTTTTTCAAAGAAGGGTCGTACATAGCTCCCGAATTCACATTTTCATGGGTAATGGTGTAAAACCATGGATTTGCTTGTGTAACTTGAGTACAATACTGAGAAAAACTTTGAGAACTGAGCATGGAATTCCACTTCCGGCAGACAGAGCGGAAGCGGAAAAATGTAGCAATGGGAAGTCGTGCTATCACAGCCTCAAATAAATCTTCAGGAAAATCTTTCCAAATTTCTTGTTCCATAACTTCAGTTGAACAGGATCGTCCAGATGATTTGCCCCTGCTTCTATCTCTACGAGACTTCTTAGTAGGTGGAGACTTCACAGGCTCTGACATCCTGAAACTGCCAGACTTTCCTGCTGTCACTACAAGGCCACAAAAGTCATCTACAGAGCTATCTTCAACGTCAAAGGATGTCCATCTGTCAAAAATGCAAACTATTTCATATATCATATGTTTCCTGACATTAAGTGTCACATTTGAAATGCAATTGCACACACAAATAGCATTAGGGGAAGAAGGAGACATGTTTGAAATTCGTGATTTGTCAGAATAACAATCTCACTTATAAAAGCTATATAAGCGGGTAGCAGAATGAGACTTAACTACCGATGAAACGGTATAGTTAAAGGATGAAGAGCATTTCAAAGAAATATCAGTTCCCATCTAGGTAACAATAATTAATTTAATCCATCAAAGTCGATACACTATACTACTCCACTTAGATACTGCTTGAACAAACTTCTCCGTAAACATTTAGAGGAGAAAGAAATACGAAAGTAAAATGATTTAAACTTCTCTCAAAATTTAAAATCAACCTA